AATGCTTTTCTACATCTATTGCAATGATCATATGATTTTTATCCTTCATTTTGTGAATGTGGTGTATCATATTGATTAATTTTTGAATATTGAAACATCCTTGCATCTCTGAAATAAATCCTACTTGATCATGGTGAATGATCCTTTAAAAAATTTTAAAATTCAGCTTGTTAATATTTTATTGAGGATTTGCATCTATGTTTATCAATGATATTGGTCTCCAATTTTCTTTTTATCATAGTTGTTTTTGGTTTTGGTATTGGTAATGCTATTCCCCTAGCATGAATTTGGAAGCATTCCTTCCTATTCTGTTTTTTGGAATAGTTTAAGAAGTATAGGTATTAACTCTTCTTTAAATGTTTGGTAGAGGTCGCCTGGGTGGCTTCGTCAGTTAAGCATCTGCCTTCTGCTCAGGCCAGGATCCTGGAGTACCGGAATTGAGTCCCACATCAGACTCCCTGCTGAGCAGGGAGTCTGCTTCTCCCTCTGCCCCCCACCCTGCTCTCGTGCTCTCTCTCTCTCAAATAAATAAATAAAATCTTTAAAAAAATAGTAAATGTTTGGTAGAATTCACTTTTGAAGCCATCTGGACTTTTGTTTGTTGGGAGTTTTTTGGTTCAACTTTGTCTCAGTTTTATTACCTAAATTTGTTTGTTTGTAATTTGTTTGTTTAGATTTTCTATGTCTTCCTGAATTTATTCTTGGAAGTTTTTATGTTTGTAGGAAGTTTTCATTCTTCTATTTTGTCTAATTTGTTGGCATATTGTTTTTTTGTAGTAATTTCTTAAAATCCTTTGTGTTGTGTGTTCTTTTTGGAAGGAAGCCATGCTAGGAGTAGGGTAAGAGAAGGCATAGGTTGAGATCAGTAGTACAGATATGTTTAGTATGACGTGAGACATCTAAGTGGAGACAATCAAGCAGGCAGTTAAATACAAGAATTTCAATTAAAAAAAAAAAAGAATTTCAAGTTTAGAAACAAGTCCTAAACTATAAATTAAACCACAAATCTGGTTTGGTCAGTATATAACCTTCAGGATAGATTTTGGATACTAACCCTTTATCCGATATGGCATTTACAAATATCTTCTCCCATTCCGTCGGCTGCCTTTTAGTTTTGTTGATTGTTTCCTTTGCTGTGCCGAGGCTTTTTATCTTGATGAAGTCCCAATAGTTCGTTTTTGCTTTCGTTTCCCTTGCCTCAGGAGACGTGTCTAGTAAGAAGTTGCTGTGGCCAACATCAAAGAGGTTGCTGCCCGTTTTCTCCTCTAGGATTTTGATGGTTTCCTGTCTTACATTTAGGTCTTTAATCCATTTTCAATTTACTTTTGTGTACTGTGTAAGAAAGTGGTCCAGTTTCATTCTTCTGCATGTCGCTGTCCAGAGTTTTCCCAACACCATTTGTCGAAGAGACTTCTTATATTTTTTCCTGCTTTGTGGAAGGTTAGTTGACCATACGTTTGTGGGTCCATTTCTGGTTCTCTATTCTGTTCCATTGATCTATGTGTATGTTTTTGCCTGCAGCTTCAGTATAAAACACATAATTGAGAGCACAATTGAATAAAACACCTCAACACAGTTGTGTACTTCATCATAAGAAAACTTGCACTGTTGTGATTTGACCTTGGGTTTACTTTGGCAGAACAAGAATTATAACTTTTCTTCTCACTGGTAGGGATGAAAAGCTAAGAGAAAGTATTGCTCTTAGTTGCTCTTATAATACTGAGTCCCACTAGAAGCTGTGTCTATTCTGCTACCAGTTGCTCAGGTTTTGCTTCCTTCCTAGCATCTTTCAGCATTCTGCTTTTTTCCAGTGTAAACCAGAAAGAAAGGAAATGATTCTGTTTACATATGCACTATTTTCCTATGATTATCCTCTGCTGCTTTTTTCCAGTCTGGATGGAAATTCTTTCTTGAATTCTTCTCTGCCACTTCCTGTTCTTTGAGCCTGGAACTGTTATAAAAGCTAATTGGCATCAGACACAAAAGATTATTCATTAACTTTTCTCTAAGACCCACAGCTCCTTCCAAGCCTGATTCTAATTTTTTAAAGGAACTATCTCTTTCTTTTCTTCTGAACTGACATATTAGAATACAGTTGAACAGACCATGCACAATTTTCAAACAATTGCTTTATATGCCATATTTAGTTTGAAAGTTATTTTCCCATAGAAACAATAATATAAATGATGGTTTGGTTTCCCCAGCTAACTCCAACATCTTTTAAACTTGTGTCAAGTGGTATTTCATTTATAATTGACAACAGCTATACCCTTGTTTCTTGGACACATGGACACATTGCCCATAAGTTATTCTAGTATAGCATAGAGACAGGAAACAAGGACTGTACCTACAGTGTCCCAATAATTTAACTTTCTACATTAGTAGCATAGAACCACAGACTGTAGGAGTTAGGAGGGACATTAGAGATAGCATCATCCAAGCTACTTATTTTTTATGAGGGAGAAGACTGAGAGCCTGGGAACTTAAATGACTTTTCCTTAGTGGCATTTTCTCACCTCACATCACTGAAATTTGTGTATATTGATTCACCTGTTTAAAATTCCAGATAAACTCCTTGATATCTATCAAGATTCAGTTCTCCTATAAAACTTTATGTGTTCACCCTTGACCCTTTGGATATATATAGTTGGACTCTCCAATCTCTTTTCTCTCCATACATTGTATATAATAACTTTCATAGCACTGTTTAGGTACAGTGACCTTGTGCAAGTCACTAAACATCTCAGTACTTCAGTATTTTTATCCATAAAATAATAATACCTACTTCACAGGTGTGTAATGAAAATGAAATGAGTTAATATAGGCAAAGAGCTTATGACAGTGTCTGGTACACAGTAAATTTTATATAATTAATAGATAGTATCATAATGAATTGTGATTTTTGACTTGAATACTTGTTTTCCCTACTGGTCTATGAGCTCATCAGCTCACCAAGGTCAAAAAGATTATATATCACTCATCTTTGGCAGCATTATATAAGTTTTTAACGAAAATTTTTATTTTGAGGGGTGCCTGGGTGGCTCAGTCAGTTAAGCATCTGCTTTCAGCACAGGTCGTGATCAGGGTCCTGGGATCGAGCCCCACTTTGGGCTCCCTGCTCAGTGGGGAGTCTGCTTCTCCCTCTCCCTCTCCCTCTGCTCCTCCCCCCCACTCATGCTCTCTCTTTCTCAAATAAAATCTTAAAAAAAGAAAAGAAAATTTTTACTTTGAAATCATTGTAAGTTTACATGCAGTTGGAAGAAATAATACAGAGATCCCATGTGCCCTTTACCTCATTTCCCCCAGTAATAACACCTTGCAAAACTACAGTACAGTATCACAATGGGGATATTGACATTGATATAGTTAAGATTCAAAACAATTCCATTACCACAAGGATTCTACATATTGACCTTTTACAACCACACTCATTTCTTTCTCATATTCTTCCTCCAACCAACATCTAACTCCTGGCAACCACTAATCTAGTCTCGATTTCTATAATTTTGTTATTTCAAGAATATTATATAAATGGAATAACATAATATGTAACTTTTGCTGATTGTCTCTTTTCACTCAGCATAATTCTCTGGAGATTTATTTCAAGTTGTGTGTTATCATTTTTAAAAATTATTGAGTAGCATTTCATGGTATGAGTGTACATACTAAAATCTGACTACACACCCATTGAAAGACATCTGAATTGTTTCTAGTTTTTATTGATTATGAATAAAGCTGCTTTTGAACATTCACGTACAGGTTTTTGTGTAAATATGTTTTCATTTCCTTGGGATAAATGCCCAGGAGAGAGTTGCTGGATCATATGGTAGTTGCATGTTTAGTTTTTGAAGAACTTGCCAAACTGTTTTCCATAGTGCTGTACCATTTTACATACCACCAACAACTTATGAGTGAAAAGACAGAGAAATTTATCCCAAATGAAGGAACAGGAGAAGGCCATGGACAGGGATCAAAGTAAAACAGATATAAGTAACATACCTGATGGACAATTTAAAGCAGTGATCATAAGGATACTCACTGGACTTGAGAACAGAGCAGGAGACATCAGTGAGACCCTTAACACAGAGATAAGGAATAACAGCAGAGATAAAGGACTCAATAACCAAGATGAGAAACATGCTTGATAGAATGAAGAGCAGGCTGGAGAGCAGAGGAATGAATTAGTGACCTAGAAGACAGAGTAAGGGAAAGTAATCAAGCTGAACAAAGGAGAAAAAAAAGAATTATGCAAAACAAGAATATACTTAGGGAACTCAGTGACTCTGTCAAACATAAACATATTCATATTTTAGGAGTCCCAGAAGAAGAGTGAGAAAAGCGGGCAGAAAATATATTTGAAGAAATAATAGCTGAAAACTTGACTAACATGGGGAAGGAAACAGATCTCCAGAAATAGGTGGCACAGAAACTCCCATCAAAATCAACAAAAGCAGATCCACACCAAGACATATTGTAAATAAATTGGCTATATATGGTGATAAAAAATATTAAAGAGCAGCAAGATAAAAGGAGACAGTTACATACAAAGGAAACCCCATAAAGCTATCAGCAGATTTTTCAGCAGAAACTTTCTAAGCCAGAAAGGAGGCATGATATACTCAAAGTGTTGAATGCGAAAAACCTGCAGCCAAGAATACCCTATCTAGCAAGGCTGTCATTCAGAGTAGAAGGAGAGATAAAGAGTTTCCCAAACAAAAACTAAAGGAGTTCGTGACCTCTAAACCAGCCCTGCAAGAAGTATTAAAGGGAACTCTTTGAGTGGAAAGCAAAGACCACAAATGACAGTATGAAGGTAGGAAACACAAAAGCAGTAAAAAGAGTTAGTTAAGGAACTCACAAAAGAAAAGGAAGTATGCACCTAAAACATGGGGAGAAAAGGAGTAAAGAATGGGTTCAAACTTAAATGACCATCAATTTAGTAGACTGCTATATGAAGAAGGGGTTATATACAAACTGTATGGTAGTGATTTATCAAAAGCCACTAATAAATATGCAAAGAAGAAAGAGAAAGAAATTCAAATATGTCACTGAAGAAAATCAGCAAACCATGAAAGAGAGGAAGACAAGAAAGGCTCAGAGAAAATCTTCAGAACAACCACAAAACAAATAATAAAATGGCAACAAATACATATCTATCAATAATGACTTTATTTTTTTAAGTAGGCTCCAAGCCTAGCATGGAGCCTAATGGAGGGCCCAAACTCATACCCCAAGACCAAGACCTGAGCTGAGATCAAGAGTTGGACACTTAACCTACTGAGCCACCCAGGCACCTCAATCAGTAATTATTTTGAATGTAAATGGACTAAATGCTCCAATCAAAAGACATAGGGTGACAGAATGGATGAAAAAACAAGACCCATCTATACACTGCCTATAAGAGGCTCATTGTAGACCAAAAAACAGGTGCAGATTGAAAGTGAGGAGATGGAGAAACATCATGCAAATGGATGTCGAAAGAAAGCCAGAACGGCAGCTTTCCAACCAGGCCCTGGCAGAATGGCTCCTGCGAAGAAGGGTAGTGAGAAGAAGAAGGGCCGTTCTGCCATCAACGAGGTAGTGACCAGAGAATACACCATCAACATTCACAAGTGCATCCATGGAGTGGGTTTCAAGAAGCGTGCCCCTCGGGCACTCAAAGAGATCCGGAAATTTGCCATGAAGGAGATGGGAACTACAGATGTGCGCATTGACACCAGGCTCAACAAAGCTGTCTGGGCCAAAGGAATAAGGAACGTTCCATACCGTATCCATGTGTGGTTGTCCAGAAAATGTAACGAGGATGAAGATTCACCAAACAGGCTCTACACACTGTTTACCTATGTACCTGTCACCACTTTCAAAAATCTACAGACAGTAATGTGAATGAGAACTAATCACTGATTGTCAAATAAAGGTATAAAAAAAAAAAGATATAAAGCCAGAGTGGCAATACTTCTATTGGATGAAATAGACTTTAAAGCAAAGACTGTAATAAGAGGCAAGAAGAACACTATCATAATAAAGGGGACAATCCAACAAGAAGATATAACAATTGTAAATATTTTGGACCCAACATGGGAGCACCCAAATACACAAAACAGTTAAGAACAAACATAAAGAAACTAATTGATAATAATACCATAGCAGTAGAAGACTTTAACACCCCACTTACACCAATGGACAGATCATCTAAACAGAAAATCAACACGGAAACAATGGCTTTGAATGACACAGTGAACCAGATGGATTTAACAGAATATTCAGAACATTCCAGCCCCAAACAGCAGAATACACATTCTTTTCAAGTGCACATGGAACATGCATCTTTTCTGACCATAATGCTATGAAACTAGAAGTCAACCACAAGAAAAAATCTGGAAAGACCACAAATAACATGCTGCTGAACAATGAATAGGTCAACCAGGAAATAAAAGAAGCAATTAAAAAGTACATGGAAACAAATGAAAATGAAAACACAACAGTTCAAAATCTTTGGGACGCAGCAAAAGCAGTTCTCAGAGGAAGTGTATAGCAATACAGGCCTACCTCAAGAAGCAAGAAAAATCTCTAATAAAGAACCTAACCTTACACTGAAAGGAGCTAAAAAAAGAACAACAAATGAAACCTAAAACGAGCCAAAGAAAGGAAATAATAAAGATTAGAGCAGAAATAAATGATATAGAAACTAAAAAACAATAGAACAGATCAATGAAACCAGGAGCTGTTTCTTTGAAAAAAATCAATAAAATTGACAAACCTCTAGCCAGACTTACCAAGAAAAAAAAAGAAAGGGCCCAAATAAATAAAAGCACAAATGAGAGAGGAGAAATAACAACAAACACCATGGAAATAAACTTATAAGAGAGTATTGTGAAAAACTACATGCCAACAAATTGGACAACCTGGAAGAAATGGATAAATTCCAGAAACATAATCTAACAAAAGTGAAACAGGAAGAAATAGAAAATTTGAACAGACTGATTACAAGTGAAGAAATTAAATAAGTAATCCAAAAACTCCCAACAAACCAAAGTCCAGAACCAGATGGCTTCACAGACAAGTTCTCTCAGACATTTAAGGGGCACCTGGGTGGCTCAGTCAGTTAAGCATCTGCCTTTGGCTCAGGTCCTGATCCTGGGGTCCTGGGATCAAGCCCCACATCGGGCTTCCTGCTCAGCGAGGAGTCTGCTTCTCCCTCTCCCTCTGCTCCTCCCCCTCACTCATGCGCCCGCTCTCTCTCACAATAAATAAATAAAATCTTTTTAAACAACAACAACAAAACATTTAAAGAAGAGCTAATGCCTTTTCTTCTCAAACTATTCTGAAAAATAGAAAAGGAAGGAAAACTTTCAAATTTATTCTGTGAGGCCAGCATTATCCTGACACCAAAACCCTGATACAGACACCACTAGTGGGGCTCCTGGGTGGCTCAGTCGTTAAGCGTCTGCCTTCGGCTCAGGTCATGATCCCAGGGTCCTGGGATCGAGCCCCACATCAGGCTCCCTGCTCTGCGGGAAGCCTGCTTCTCCCTCTCCCACTCCCCCTGCTTGTGTTCCCTCTCTCGCTGTCTCTCTCTGTCAAATAAATAAAATAAAATAAAAAATAAAGACACCACTAGAAAAGAGAACTACAGGGCAATATCCTGCAAAAATCCTCAACAAACTACTAGCAAACCAAATCCAACAATACATTAAAAACACCATTCACCACAATCCAGTGGGATTTCCTCCAGGGTTGCAAAGGTGGTTCAGTATTCACAAATCACTCAACATGATACATCACATCAACAAGAGAAAGACTAGAAACCATATGATCACTTCAATAGATGCAGAAAAAGCATATGACAAAGTACAACATCCATTCATGGAAATGCCCTCAACAAAGTTAGTTTAGAGGGAACATACCTCAACATAATAAATAGCTCAGTATATGGAAAACCCATAGCTAACATTATCCTCAGTGGGGAAAACTGAGAGCCTTTCCCCTAAGGTCAGGAACAAGACAGGGATGTTCACTCTCACCATTTCTATTCAACATCATAGTGGAAGTCCTAGCCAGAGCAATCAGACAATAAAAAGAAATCAGAGACATCCAAATCAGTAAGGAGGAGGTGAAACATTCATTGTTTGTTGATGACATGATACTCTTCATATAGAAAACCTGAAAGACTTCCCCCCAAAATTTCTGGAACTGATAAACAGATTCAGTAGAGTTGCAGGATACAAAATTAGTGTACAGAAATCTGTTGCATTTGTGTACACCAGTAATGAAGCAGCAGAAAGAGAAATTAAGAAAACAATCCCATTTACAATTGCACCAAAATAATAAGATACCAAGGAATAGACCTAACCAAAGAGGTGAAAGACCTGTACTCTGAAAACTATAGAACACTTATGAAAGAAACTGAGATGACACAAAGAAATGGAAAGACATTCCATGCTCATGGATCAAAAGAAGGAATTTTGTTAAAATGTCTATACCACCCAAAGCAATCACACATTTAATGCAATCCCTATCAAAATACCACCAGCATTTTTTGCGGAACTAGAACAAACAATCCTAAAATTTGTATGGAACCACAAAAGATCCTGAATAGCCAAAGTAAACTTGAAAAAGAAAAGCAAAGCTGGAGGCATCAGAATTTCAGATTTCAAGTTACAAAGCTGTAGTAATCAAAACCATATGATACTGGTACAAAAATAGATTCATAGACCAAGGAGACAGAATAGAAAACCCAGAAATAAACCCAGAATTATATGGCCAGTGAGTCTTTGACAAAGCAGGAAAGAATATACAATGGGAAAAAGGCAGTCTATTCCACGAAGGGTGTTGGGAAAACTGGATAGCAACATGCAAAAGAATAAAACCAGACCACTCTCTTACATCATGAACAAAAATAAATTCAAAATGGATTAAAGACCTAAATGTGAGACCTGAAACCACAAAAGTCCTGGAAAAGAGCACAGGCACTAATTTCTCAGACATAGACTGTAGCAACACTTCTCTAGATATGTTTCCTGAGGCAAGGGAAATAAAAGTAAAAATAAACTATTGGGACTACATCAAAATAAAAAGCTTCTGCACAGCAAAGGAAACAATCAATAAAACTAAAAGGCAACCAATGGAATGGGAGAATATATTTGCAAAGGACACATCTGATACAGGGTTAGTATCCAAAATATATGAAGAACTTAAAAACTCAACATCTAAGAAAAATAATCCAATTAAAAAATGGGCAGAAGAGTGGCGCCTGGGTGGTTCAGTCGATTGTGTCCCACCCTTGATCTCAGCTCAGTTCTTGATCTCAACATCACGAGTTCAAGCTCCGTGTTGGACTCCATGCTGGGCATGGAGCCTACTTTTAAAAAATGGGCAGAAGACATAAACATATTTCTCCAAAGAAGACATACAGATGGCCAACAGACACATGAAAAAATGCTCCACATCACTCATCATCAAGGAAATGCAAATGAAAACTATACCACCTCACAACTGTCAGAATGACTAAAATCAAAAACACAAGAAACAAATGTTGACGAGGATATGGACAAAAAGGAACCCTTGTACGCTGTTGGTAGAAATGCAAACTGGTGCAGCCCCCAGTGGAAAACAGTGTGGAGGTTCCTCAAAATGTTAAAAATAGGATTACCCTATAATCTAGTAATCACACTACTGGGTATTTACTCAAATAATACAGAACACTAATTCAAAGGGATACATGTATCCCTATTTTTACAGTAGCACTATTTATAATAGCAAAGATATGGAAGTGGCCCCAGTATCCAATGAGTAATAGATTAATGGATAAAGAAGAAGTGGTATATATATACACACTGGAATATTATTCAGCCATTTAAAAAAATGGATATTTGCCATCTGTAATGATGTGGATGGAGCCAGAGTGTATTATGATAAGCAAAATAAGTCAGGGAAAGAGAAATACTGTATAATTTCACTCTTGTGGAATTTAAGAAATAAAACTGAACATGGGGGAAAAATGAGAGGCAAACCATAAAATAGACTCTTAACTATAGAGAACAAACTGAGGGTTGCTGCAGTAGAGGTGTGTGTCGGGATGGGTGATGGGTATTAAGGAGGGCACCTGTTGTGATGAGCACTGGCTGTTGTATGTAAGTGATGATTCACTAAAACCTATACCTGAGGGATGCCTGGGTGGCTCAGTCGGTTAAGCGTCTGCCTTCGGCTCAGGTCATGATCCCAAGGTCCTGGGGTCGAGTCCTGCATCAGGCTGTTCAGCAGGGAGCCTGCTTCTCCCTCTGCCTGCCGTTCCCCCTACTGACAAATAAAATCTTAAAAATATATATATACACCTGAAACTAACATTTTAAAAAATCATGTTTAAAAAAAGAAAAGATAGAGTGACAAACCAAAAAAACACTCTTAATTATACAGAACAAACTGATGGTTACCAGAGGGGAGGTTTGTGGGCAGATGGGTGAAATATGTGATAAGGATTAAGGAGTGCCCTTATTGTGGTAAGTACCGGGTGATTACAATAAAAACTTAAAAGAAGATACTATTTTCTCCATTAACATGCTTTTGCACCTTTGTAAAAAAATAATTTAGTATTCACCATATACAAAAATAAACTCAAAATGGATTAAATACCTACGTGTAAAGTGGATTAAATACTTAAGCATAAAAATCCTAGGAGAGAGCACAAGGAGTAATTTCTCTGACATCAGCCATAGCAACATTTTTATAGATGTGTCTCCTTAGTTAGGCAAGGGAAACAAAAGCGAAAGTAAACTATTGGGACTACTTCAAAATAAAAACCTTTTGCACAGCAAAGGAAACCATCAGCAAAACAAAAATATGACCTACTGAATGGCAGAAGATATTTGCCAATGATATTTCCAATAATAGGTTAATATCCAAAATATGCAAAGAACTTGTACAACACCAAAAAAGCAAACAATCCAATTTAAAAGTGGGCAGAGGACCTGAATAGACGTTTTTTTCAAAGAAGACATACAGATGGCCAGCAGACACATGAAAAGATGCTCAACATCACTAATCATCAGGGAAATACAAATCAAAACCACAATGAGATATTACTTCACACCTGTCAGAATGGCTAAAATTAAAAAGACAAGAAACAACAAGTGTTGGCAAGGATGTGGAGGAAAAGGAACCCTCATGCACTGTTGGTGG